TTTTTTTTTTTTTTGTTTTTTTTTTTTTGAGCACTGTGGCTCTCGCTGCATGCTCATAGCACACTGAAAGTGCCAGAGAGTAAGGTGACCCCTTTCGCTTTGGGATGGAGTCCCTTACAGATCTTGTTCCAGGCGTCAGAGTTGTAAACCGAAACCTTCTGACCTGGACAAATCTTACTGAGTGATGCAAGGCGGGCTCCACTAGTGTATCCCTGGCATAACGTACAAACGACAACAAACGAACCGTTCGAACAATCCAGGAGGATACACTTGTGGTTTAAATTTCTAAGCCGCCGAACATCCACTCTCATAGAATCAGAACAATGTCCAGGGGCAGGCTCTTTGTCGGCGGCGTTGCGCGACGTCCTGAGGCACCCTTGACAAATCCAAAAACGCTGGTCCCCTCCAGGAGGCCCGAGCCACTCCCACCGATGAGGCGAGGTTGAGGAGCGGGGGGCCTGAGCGGGGGCAGACCACGAGGCACGGGAGAGGTCCGTGCGCGGCCATAGCGGCAGAAGAGCAGCACACAGTCTGACCGCCATGAGCGCCGAATTCACAAGAGTAGTGCATGCGTTTGCTATATCCTCCGACGGCGCCTGGTGGGACTCAGCTCCCAGCTTGGCGGCCTTATCGGCGAAATCATTTCCTATCCTTCGAAAACGCTCGTCATCGTCGATCTCTGGATCGTCGATGGGAAGATGCGCAGGCACTTTCTCACACCCAAGCGTCCTTTTTCCTCCAAGAGAACGACCCTGAGCGACGAGCCCCGCATAAGGACGCTTGGGTGAGATCTGTTGGTGTCGGGCCATGCCGTGCATGGAGACAACATTCTGGCAATCTGAATACAGAATAGCAGGTGCAGACAAGAAAGCGCACGCCATGGCATAAGCCGAAAATTCACCTGCCTGGGGAGTCTGGGGGCAACTGTCCCACACGGGGCCCCAGCTCCAAGCAAGACGATTGGCACGGGGGCCCATCATCGCTAAACCCCAACCAGCTCTATTCGAGCTGCGGACCACCCGTCGAGAACACGAGCCATCAAGGAAGACGTGGCCCCACATCTGGCGGCGGCCGTCGCGGGGCATCTCCATGCCTTCGGCCGCGAAGCCTTCAGGAAAAACTGAAACTGGATACCATCATCCTCCTCGGATCTACTGTCGGACTTAGGGGGCGGGAGCACACTCTGGGGGTGTCCAAACAAACCAGAGGTGAGGTGGAACCGTTCTCTCTCCGAAGCCGCTTCGAACTGACTCAAAACCTGCTCCAGAGTACTGCGAGGAATCAGCTCCCTCCGCTCCTCCTCCACCGCCGAACACGCATATAGCCGATGAAAAATCGTGTCGCCAGGCTGATGGCAGAGTGGGCAACGATCGTCCACTTCGTAACCTGCTGCTCGTGCACGGGCGTAGGGCCAGATTCCTTGACAGGCACAACAACGGATAGTTCCTTTCTGGCGAGCAGTAAACTTTTTGGACCGAAGGGCTTTGATGACGACATCAAAACATAACGACTCGGCCCTTTCGGGGCCGTACTTGGCGGCCGCTTCTCTTTCCAACGACCGCCAAACCCCCTCTTTGAGGAAAACTTGGAGGAGAGAAGGAGGCGTAAGCGTGAGCGACTGCTCAACTCCCAAGTCGCTGACCATGGCAAAAGGCGAGGGCATGCTCCATCCCAAGCGGGCCAGGGATAACTTCATGGCCCCAATGGGCCCGCTCACAGTCCTCCAGGTCCAAGAGCGCCCGAAAACATCGTGCCACATGTTTCGGAGCTCGGCCCAAGAAAAAAACAAACTTCGGAGGCCCTCGTGGCACGGGGCCAAACTTCCTTGGCCCACCTGATGGCAGGCGCCACCGCACCCCACCACGCAGGATCGCCTTCAATACTGCTGAGGATGGTTAAACTTCGGCCTCCGCAGGCAGGCTTCATAGTGGAGGCACACATACGTCTGACTTTTGTTAGCTCTCCGTCACTGACCCCGTGAACTTCAGCCCCATAATTGACTCCTGCGAGAGGTCCCGCAGTGCAGAGCTTCGTAGCCCTTGGTCCTAGAACTCCTCTTTGACGAGCCAGCCTGCCAGCGCGCCTAGAGGCTCTCGCAAAGCGCGTCTTCGCCCTGCCGTTGCGCCCGCGGACTCGCCTGGCGCAGCCTGCAGTGTCATCAATGCCTAAATTGACGAACGACTCAGTACAGACTCCTCCAAGCCCCCCAAGCCGTTTCTGGACATGTCTGGCGATTTCCTTGGAGGGCACAACCAGCCCGACCTTGTCGGGGGAGACTTGCGCGAAAAGAACCTTGTCGATGATCTCCTCAAGGGACTTAGCCGCTCGAGGGAGTTCTTTCATAATGTGTCTAGTGGTCCCAATCGCATTAATCACCAGGTCATCAAAGTAGGCGTCGAACGTGATCCCCTTAGGGGCCTCCAGTTGATCAAAACCCCGCAGGGCAAACATCCTGATCATCGTGGTGGCAAAACTGCATCCCGCTATGATTCCAACTCTCGCGTGCGTGGGAGGCGCAACCACTCCCGCCAGCACTAAGAAACGGGCAGAACGGTATCCCGCCATGCAAACATCGGTGAGCGCATCAGGGAGACCGTGCTGCCTGCATCGAAGAGCCAGAAGCTCAAGAGGGATGCGCTCGTAGTACTTGGCGAAATCCCAGAGAAGAGTGCAGGCCTCCTGCCCGCAGGCTCGGGAAGACTCCGAACGGGCACTTTGCCTCCAAACAACATCGCACGCGGACTTGAATTTTCCCGCCGCCCAGTACTCTCTCTGGTGTTTCCCTTCCAACTCAACCGCATAATCTCTCCTGCATTTCCCCCATAATCTGTGCAGACTAGGAAACGCCCCGATGGGGCGGAAGCCAGAGGAAGGCTTCGGAAGCATGGCAATAATCACGGCCTCCAGCTGCGGGGGAAGGGTGCCCGTGAGTTCCATCAAAGTGAAAAACCGCGAGAGGGCCCACAAAGCCCCGTCGGACAGCACCGAAAAGTGTCTCAGGTGAAACCCGTCCAGACCCGTGGCAGACCTGTGGGCAAACGTGCGAGAACCCTTCCGAATAATGTCAACCGAAATGGGTGGGAGGGGGATATTCACTTTCCCTGGCCTTTTCTGAGGTACAGGGAGCCCTTCCCACAAGTAGCGAAAACGAACAGCTTCGGCGGCCAGGAGCGCCTGCGGGTCGGACACCACGCAGCCTCCAGCACTAAGTGTAGTGGATGGTGTCCATCCTTGAGGATCTCTGGTGTAGCCATGCGCCCTACGCCCGCCTTGATCGACATTCTCGGTGAGCCAGTCCGCCCAATCCCGCCTGGCCTTGGCGGCGTAGAAGGCACTACATTCAGACACAAAGTCGGTAACCTGGGTAGAGACCTCTTCGACTTGGGCAATCAAAACCTCCTGAGCCTCCAAAAAGCTAGGATCATCGCCCGACCCATCCAGCGGGTCAACCAAAACCACGAGGTCCAAAATCACCGAGGAAACACAACCGAAAACCACTTCAATCCCAGGGAACAGGTTGTCGGGCTTACACAAGCTAGGGGGGGGGAGACGACAGAACGCACCCCACTTCCCTAGCCTGAGGCCAATCCCCCCTCTGCACACACATAGAAAGCCTTTTGAACTTCGAAGCGAGCCAGCGGCAGGCGTGGAGCTGGGGGTAGCGCACGCACCCGCGGTCTTTACTGAGGATCGGCCTCCAATGGGTCTTGGGCCCCACACCCCTCGACCCCCAAACAGGAAGTTGAACCCCGAAAGTCATTGAAAGTTCCCGTTCGGCAAGACCCGCCCAAGACGCGTAAGCTTCACGAAATAGGCGAGCAGTCATAACCCCATCGTCCCCTCTCTTGGCTCGAATGAAAGTCGCGTCCAGCTGGGCATGCACGCGCTTAAGGTCCATCGGCGCTGGCTGAGGACCGAAGGGTACTTCCGATGGGAGAGGAGGCGGGCGTCTGAAAGCGAGGTAGTGCATCTGGGCCAGACCAGCATGAAACTCGAGACAAACTGGACTGTGCGGAAAGAACCCTGCCTCTTCGATTATGCGAACTTCGGCTGCGCCCTTTGACAGCCCAGAGGAAACCACGAAGTAGTCGTAGACTTTGCCCGCACCAGCGTGGCAAGTAGGCTTGCTGGGGTCGGTGACTTGACCAACCAGGGTGCTCACGAAAAAGGACTTGGCGAGTTCGGAAGGCTCCATGTTCCAGTCTCCCCCGACAAGGAATGGTTTCCTGCAGGTGAACCCTTCCGCTCCTATAGCCGACAGTATCTCGAGGTTAGGTTCCGAAAGCCCTTCAGAGTCGCGCATATAAACATAACGAACTTGAAACACGTCCCCTTGGGGCGCATGCACCAGAGCCGTGATGGCCCTGTGGGGGGCCAGCTCGAGCCCCGAGGGCGCCCTATGACGCCCCAGAGTGGCGCGACACAAGATCGAGACTCCCGCAGAGGGGCCCCCTTCGGGCCCAGTCGTGCCAGGGATCCAAAGAGATTTGAAACCGAGGCCGAGACAGACGGAAGAGGCTCTATCCAGAGCCTCCTGAGTCAAGAGCTTGTGCTCTTGGGCTAGAATCACTTCTGCATCTACACTGGGGGGCCACTCCTTCACCGACCCCCAGGCATTACCATTGACCGACGCGACTCTCAGACGGAACGACTGTTGGCCTGGAGGTGGCGGGGGCAAAAAGGGGCCACCAAACTCTGTACCAAAGCCTGGCTCCGAGCAAGAAGCATCCCTATCTCGAACGTTGAGACTAGTATTTCGAGGCAAAACAGGAAGAAGTTGGGCACGAGGAGGAGGGGTCCTGACAGCATGTGCTCGCTGTCGACCTCCCTCCGCAGAAACTGAACTGGAACGCCTATCAGGTGTTGCTCGCAGAGAAAAGTGTACCCCCCCCCCCTTCAGGCCTGCTGCCCGTCAGGGGGGCTGCGATTTTTCTGCTCACTGTGCCGCTCACCTGAGCCGCTGCTCTCAGGAGTTGACTGTTGCTGCTGCACCCGCTCTGCAACTCGTGCTGCATGCTCGCGAACTCGGCTGACTGAGGCGGCTGGCTGGCTAGCGTCGCTGGCCGATGCGTCGCCACTGCCAGAGGCACCCCCAGGATGCGACCCACCTTCATCAGCACCTCCTTCGCGAACTCCGCCACCAGCCG